GCTAACTCATCAAAACATAACAAACCAGGTGAGGTGCACCCCAGAAAGCAGGGCTTTACTGTGAGCCTTGGCAAGGTTCAAACCCTAATACACCAGAAGGGGTGTAATGATGCTTTGAACCTACCTATAAAAAAACAATACTTTGAACCTTGTGCTTCTTTTTTTTAGTATTTTTTTTTCAAAATTTCACAGGGGGCCATTTTTATGTCATTAAATTATTAAAAAAGAGTTTTAGAAATACCTTAAAACAGGTATATCATTGAGCAAAATATACGATACAATGTGCTCGATATAAGCGTATAGTTTCGATACTTTGAACCTTGGCCTTGGCCTGCCAAAGGCATGCCTAGTCATGTTCGGGTGGGGTTGGTAATGCACATCCCACAAAATGAGTATCTTATTCAAAACACTGGAAATGACACTAATCATGTTCTTATTCCTCAAGGAACTATTTTCCTTGCATCATGCAGGGCTTTGACAAACAAAGCAGTTGCTGCCAATGATGGGAAGCCACTACCACTTTACCAGAAAGCTCTTTGTGGGCTGACAGCTGGAGCCATTGGAGCTTGTGTTGGTAGTCCAGCAGATTTAGCACTCATACGTATGCAGGCTGATGCCACCTTGCCTTCTGCACAGCGGCGAAATTATACAAATGCATTCCATGCACTCTACCGTATTGTTGCAGATGAAGGGGTTCTGGCACTCTGGAAAGGTGCAGGTCCTACTGTTGTGAGAGCAATGGCATTGAATATGGGCATGCTTGCTTCATACGATCAAAGTGTGGAGTTTTTCAAGGATTCCCTTGGTTTTGGTGAAGCTAGTACAGTTGTCGGTAAGATGGTTTGGCCATATCCATGTTACTAACAAAACTATTTTGCATTCTTCCAATCGAGATAATGCCTTATCCCGATTGCAATTTTCATGAGTTTCACATGTTGAACTGAATTTGATTTTTGGGAAAAATTGTGATTTCCTAATTTTCCAGATTTATATTGCAGGGCTTCCATGACTAATTTATTTTTTGTTTTTCTGTTATACTGAATTTKATTTATATTGCATAATTGCATGTCTTCCGTGACTTATTTGGATTCTGAAGTAACAAGCATCCTTGAAGGATGTTTTTTGTGTAACCCACTAGTCCATTGCATAGCTTACTCTATTTTATTCAAATTTAGTTTAAGCATAGGTCTTGAAGTGTTTTACAGAAGAAGCTACTAGTTTTTTT